CGACGAGCTCTCCAACATTGCCTTAAGAGGTACTACCAAATTCCCAATGAGTTAGGCTTAATCAAGCCTTGAATTGATGAAAAAAAATAAAAAATAAAAAAGTGAGGAGGAAGAGAGAAACTATCAAGGGGGAGAGGAAGATAATGAGGCCATTAGAAAAATAAGTGGGGGGTTGGTCCCTCCACTAAGTTTGTTTGTTTTTTTTTTTTTTAATTTCCCACCACAAAACATATGTATATATATCTTTTTAAATCCCAACCACACAAATTAATACACCACCATGAAATTGTGTAAAAATAACAATGCATGAAATGTAATGGACCCGTGACGCAACTACAGTACATAATAATTCTGGTAGCGGGTCCCACCCGGAACCTTCTGGTCCGAAAAATAGAAAAATGCCAAAACCAGTGCATTTCCAGGAGTCCTGAACTCAAGGAAATGCCCCAACCAACTCTCGGACAAATTCAGCACACCCCATAGCATCCTTCACGTAAAACAAGGTAAGACAGAAATACCCTCAAAATTCAGAAAAAATTCAGAAAATGGAAAATGATAAAAAAAAAAAAAAAAAAAAAAAAAAATCAGAAACATTACAGTGAAAGCCATCGCTCATATTAAAGAATGCGAGACAACTACCCCTTACTAAAGGGTTGAGGAAAAAACTCTCGAAAAAAGAATACTACGTGCTAAGACCAACGTCTAATCAAGCATACTACCTGAATAACGCACACTGGTTAAGGACATTATATATACGATCTTCAAAACAGTGCTCACGAACACACATCAACAAGTTGTATCTTCAAAGCACACAAAGTAATTGATTGAAAACATAACTAAACTGGGTTGAAAATAAAGTAAGGACGGAAATGGCTCACGTTCCCCCTAAGTTTGGCATGTAAACATGGGAATGGGGGGCAACTGATCGATAAGGAATATTAGCCTATATGAAAGTCTAATCGAAATTAAAGCCCAAGAAATGTGGATAGACTACACGTAAATGAGAGAGTAACGACTTCTATGTGGAGTAACTCTCCCAATCCTTGGTGGAGGAGTAAAGGGAACCAATTTCTTAGGTGGACACGACTATTGTTAATTCTACTATAAACAAAAAGTCAGGCAACTCGAAAGGTATGCCATAAATTCCATATTTAATCCTTTATCGGATATTCAATCGTCAAGTACTAACTTGACCTTTGGAGTGCACCCGACCGGCATCACGCCGGTCATCACTTCTCTTGTCGTGCAGGAATGACCCTCGGCTCTGGACCGTGTGGATTTTTGCATCAACATTATATTTATTTCCTTTTATTAAATTTCAGTAATTTTATTTTTAAATATTATATATTTTATTTTCTAATTAGTATTTTCTACCAATATCTTATTAAATATTTTTTTGGGACAATTACACTTACCTCCTCTGTGGTTAGGGGTCATTACAGGTGGTACCTCTTACGTTTAAAAAATTACACTGTTCTCCCTCAAGGTTTGCTCCGTCGTAACACTTAGCCCCCTCCAGTGAAAGTCAACGCCGGTCAATGATGATTTCTGATGACATCAGCTATTTTTAACCCTGTAATATCACATTTGCCCTTACTATCTTTGCAAAGACATTTTAACCCTTACTTTTGTATTAAAATAACCCATATACCCAAAATAAAAAGACAAAAAAGCCCTGCATGATATCTTTATAAGCCCACACTAGCTCTTCTCTCTATATAGATATATATACTGGTCACATTTGCCCTTACCCAGATTAAAAAGATAAAAATGCTAGAGAGAGGGGGGCAAGCCGAGAGTTGAGGGACAGAGGTTGAAGCTTGCGAATGGCAAACTGGAATTCTCCTTCTCCGTTTCTTTCCTCTCTCCGTCTCTATAATTCTCACCAAAGAACACAACCCAAGTAGCCGAGTCATCCAAACTCGAATGCAGAAAACTTGCCAAGCTCGTCGAACGGCTTCGCCAAATGCTCGGCTCCGCCGTCCAACTCGCTGATTTAACCCAGCCTTTCTATGAGCGACCCATCAGGCGAATCGTCGCCGACGTGATAAAGAACCTTGAGAGGGCCTTAACCTTAGCCTGGTAGTACCGGCGAGGCTGCGTCCTCCGCTAGGTGTTCGCTATCACCACCGCCGCCGACTTCCGCAAGGCCTCAAACCTCCTCGAGTCCTCTGTCGCCGACCTCAATTGGGTCCATTCCATCTTCGACTCTGAAGAAGGTGGAACTGCGCTCTCTCTCCTGCCTGTAATCACACCATAACATCAAGCTAACAGTTGCAGAGAGAAAGGGAGGTAAGCCGAGAGTTGAGAGACAGCGGCTGAAGCTTGCGAACGGCGAACCCTAATTGGAACAGCGGACGATGGAAACTGAAAGATATGGGTTTTGATTTTTTGAACAATCTGAAATGATATGCTAATATGGGTTTTGATATGTGTAATAAGTTTTGAACTTTTGATTCTTGCTGACCGATAAACTGAAATATATGGGTTTTGAACTTCTGATTCTTATAGATTTTGTGGTTTGCAGTTGTAGAGAAAAATGGCAAGTTCAGAGTTGAGAACAAGAATAGAGATGGAGGCGATTGGGGAGGTTGAAATGATTTGCCCTAAAATTATATATATAATGTGATATTAATAAAATAAAAAAATAATAATAATAAAATACTTTCTGAGAAAAAAAAATAATAAAATAATTTAATGTGATATTAATAAAATATTAGGGACAATATGGTAATTTCAAAAAATATATATTCTTTATGTGATATTAATAAAATACTAGAGGGTGTTTTAGTCATTTAATATGATCAATGGACGGAATAAAATGCCGATCATTTTGGAGGGAGGGAGGTGTAATTTTTTAAACGTAAGAAGTACCGCCTGTAATTATCCCTAACCCCAGGGGAGGAAAGTGTAATTATCCCATATATTTTTTAGTATAATATATTTCATTCTCTAATAACAATTTTATTTATTAAGTTTCAATATATATATATATATATATATATATATTTTTTTTTTTTTTTTTTTTTTTTTTGATGACGTGGGAACCCTCGCAACTACCCGCCCTTTGGATTTGTAGCTACCAGGTGAATCATCGGCTACTCATCCCAGCCACACAGTGCAAACAGCATTTTAAGTCGAGGGTAATAAAGGCGGTGGAAAGGCTTGAACACTGCCAATGCAAGTCAATACCCTCACCTTGCCAACTCATCCAAGCCCCGGGGCAAATTTCAGTATTTCCTACTTCTATATTATTATTAGTATTAGTATTTCATGATCTAATTAGATTTTTTTTTTATTAAATAAATAAGTTTTTTAATATTCTATATTTTCTTCTTGGATTAGATTTTCTTTTATTAAATTTCAGAAGTTTAATTTTTTCAATATTATATATTTCCTTCTCTAATTAGATTTTCTTTTATTAAATTAAATATATAATTTTTTTTAATATTCTATATTTCCTTATCTGATTAGATTTTCTTTTATTGAATTTGAGTAGTTTAATTTTTTTAATATTATATCTTTCCTTCTCTAGTTAGATTTCCTTTAATTGAATTTCAGTATTTCCTACTATTATATTATTATTATCAGTATTTCTCATATAATTGCATTTTCTTATATTTAATTAAATAAATATATTTTTTAATATTATACATTTACTTCTCTAATTAGATTTATATTTATTGTATTTCAATATTTCCTACTAATATATTATTATTACTAGTATTTTATTTCTAATTATTTATTACTCTAAAACTCTTATTATACATATTTCATTTTCTAATTAGATTTCTATTTATTAAATTTCAGTATTTTCTACTATTATATTATTAATATTAATATTTTTTTTATTGAATTAAATAAATATATTTTTTATATTATATATTTCCTTTTCTAATTAGATTTTATTTTATTAAATTTTCTTCTCCAATTAGATTTATACATTAGGACATATAATTAGAAGTGACGAAATCAATTCTTTTGTAACATGAAACAGTGAGCAAATGGATTATTATTGCTTCATGTCCCTTGTTGTCCAGCGACTTTCTAGCATGTTGTGATTTTTTTGTAAGTCCTTAGTTTTTCGGTAATAGAAAGAACAAAGAATATGCAGTGGGTCAATGAGTAGCTGGAACTATTAATTTGGTTGGAGTATAGTTTTTTCTATATAACAGTGACTGGAGAATTTACTTTGACAAAAAAAAGAAAAAGAAAACTCCCTAATTAATTTCCTTCATCTTTTCTTGCAAGTCTTGCAGCAAACAAAACCGTCTATTAGCTGAAAAGTGAGAGCTTATCGTGACAACGAGAAATTATTTGGTCTATTGTGGACTAATTCAATAAAGACCCTCTGATCATGAAACTTTGTAATTTATAATTAATGGGTTAAATGCTCTGACACCCCCCTCAGGTTGGATTTATTGCCCTCATATTAAACCTCAGCCATTTTTGCTCTCACACCCCTATGAAAAGTAAGAAAAAAATGATTTTACTATAATAAGAAAAAAATGATTTTACTATAATACCCTTACCTTTATTTAACTTTAAACTTATTTTTTTATTTTTTATTTGGAAACTAAATTGATTTTTTTTAAAAAAAAAAAAAATCGATATCATGTTTTTTTTTTTTTGTTTTTTTTTTTCCTCCCAGGTGGTTGTGGTGTGGTTGCGGTGATTGGGGTGACTGTGACAACCTGAATTTAAATTTATTTTTTTTTAGATTTAATTTGATTTATTATTATTTTGGTTGTCATGATTAAATATTTAATTATGATGGGAGATTTACCACAAGATGATTTTAATGGGTTGGAATTCTTGACCTTGGTTACATTGTGTGTGTGTGTGGGGGGGGGGGGGGGGGGGGGGGGGGTGTGTCATTTGCTAAAGAAGGTGAGCAGCCGAAGTGGAAAGAAGGAAAAAGAAAAGTTGGTTATGTAGCGTGGGTCCCACATGACTTGTTTTATTGACATATACATATGTTATGTGTAATGGAGATAAGCACAGGTGGACAAAATTGTAGAAATAAGAAATGGTAAATGTGATTGGTGGGACCCACGGCTAGGATTCCTGTTGGCAAATTTCCTTTGATTTTGACTGATCATGTGGGCTGTGATGTGTTTGGACTGATACTTGCATTCTGTCGGTGCATTTTTTTTTTCCGATTTATGTACCTAACTTGTGAGTTTAGTAAGAAACTTGATAAAGGAATTAGAGGAAGGCAGAGAGAGAAAATTAAGGCCACACACACACTTTATCTCTTTCGGCTTGGACATTCTCTCTCCCTCTTTCTGTATGTATATATATATATATATATATATATATATATATATATATATATATTTTATTTCCTTCAAAGCTTCAAGCTTTGATTTCTCCCTCATTTTTGAGAGATTGTTGGAGCCGTTTGCGGCAAATTGGAGGGCTCGTTGAAATCTACACATTGATGTAAGCGATTTTCCATTTGGCCAACCTTAGGATTTCGAGTTTTAAGACCCATTTTGAGTGTTTTTCTACAATTTGAGGTAAGGGTGCTCTAATTCATGTATTCTTTGCCCTCAGTGAATTTTTCCTTCATTAATTTGATACTAGCATGCTTAATTGGTGTAGATCTATTGAGATGTGATACAAATGTTGTATATGAAATTTTATTGTATATAATAAGTATGCCATGTGCTAATTGTTATTTTGTGATGAGGTGTATTTAAATGACAAAAATTGTGCATGTATATGTTGGATTTATTGTATGAGTGCATGTTGGCTATTTTTAAATTTCTATTAAAGCATGCTATGTTGTTGTAGTTGATTACGCATGATGGAATGTTATGAATTTTTTTTTGATTGGTTATAGCATATAACATTCATACACCTCATTGGGAAAGAAAGGAAAGTTTGTTATAAAAAGTAACGTAATTGATTTTTGGGAAATTGTTTTTTTAAAAAAACAAATGGAATTGTTTTGGGAAAGTATTTTTAAAAGTGTTTGCGAAAACCGGACGCCTAGGAGGCGCCTAATGGTTCGTGATGTTAGTATAGTCTAGAAGGGAGTGTGGTTGAGCTAACTAGGCCGGATGTGACGCCTTGGAGGTGCCTTGTGGTCGTGGATAGTTAGTCAATCCCCCTTTCATGACGCCTTGGACTTGCCTTGGGTTAGATTACACTAACGATTTGGTTGTTGAAATGGAATTGTTTCGTGAAATGAAGAGTGACATTTGCATAACATTGCACTTCATGGTATTGTAGTAAATCTGTGATCGGTTGACATTTGCAATATTCTTATTGTTGTGGTTGAGAATATATGTTTCCCTATGGTATGATCCCGTTCCTTTTTACCTCTTTCTTATGTGGATTCACGGGGTCATAAGAGGTGTGTCTTAGACACTTCCTACTGAGCGTTTAGCTCACCCCATCATTTTAACATTTTTTTTTCAGGATACGGAAAGGAAGTGGCGGACGACGCTCCTCCACAGGGTTCGATGGGTTAGTAAACTGTTTTGATATATTTTGTAACTATGATCTTTTATTATTATTATTATTGCTATTACTATTTTATTTTTAAAACCCTGTGATGACACGTATAATATGTATTGACATAGGAAAGGACAGTAGTGTCCTCAGTTGACCTTGGGTTCAAGTAAAGACCTGGTTAACGATTCGGACCCTCTGGTTCGGGTTATTACAAAATTGGTATCAAAGCAATGGTTCGAATACCATTAGGACGACGCGTAGAGGCCTACCTAGGGTTGTGTGGGAAATTATTTGCATTATTTATGAGGCTATTTGCTAAAGTGTTTTGTTAATTGGAAAACATGCTTAACTGTTACTTGTTTACATGTTTATGTGCTTATGGTTTTGAAAGACATGCTCCATTGCTATGTGTTTACACGTTTATATGTTTATATACTAAAGTTTATGTTACATAGCCATGTACAAGGAATAGTTAGATGATTTGACCGTGTATATGAAATGTAAAAGAAAAGGAAAGCATGTTGATTGTGTATGAGGAGTATGGTGACGAAAAGTGGTAGGTACGGTGTGTGCAGTTTTAAATTAAATGCTAATGTGACAAGTAATGAACATAGTATATGCAAACATGTTTTGTGTAGTATTGTGGGTTTCATTCATTTTGTATATGTATATGTCTATATTCATATATGTTTATGCGGTTGAGTATTGAGGGGGTTGCTAGTACAGTAGAGTACTTGTCACGGCATTGATGGTTATGTGAGTTTTGACCTGAGTAGGCAAGGAGTTTGGTTGCTCCAGGGTTGGTTGGGTACCAGTTCTTATCGAACGAATTGTTTGGTTTTTAGCTCGTGGAGTCATTTTGATTTTCTTGTTGCATTTGTGCGGTGCTTAGAGCACGACTTCAGAATAAGTTTGAATTTCATGGCACGGTGGTTGTGTTGTTTGTGAGTTTCATGTATCGGTGTATAGGTTCTTGTAACCGTGGGGGGTCAGGTGTGCGAGTGATGGTTTTGTGGGAGAAATGTGTTACCTTAGGGGGTTAGTGTTTGTGACTTAGGTCACGGTTTGGCGCAGAGGTTCTTTTTGAACTGGTTTGAGGTGAGTGTGGCAGAGGTTGCTTGAGTCACGAATGTAATCTATGGGTTATAGATGTGTATTTCGGGTATTTTGGTACGATCTAAAGAAACATGTTGGTTTTGATTGTTAAGGGGACTTGTTGGACTCTGTAGGTCTAGGGTGACGTAGGACCGATTGTGGGGTGTGGATCATTTCGTGGTCATGTAAGAGTATGTCTTAGAGACTGGTTAATCGAGGGTGATTCCTATTTCGGGAAGCTACAAGAGCGTGTTGCGGGTAATTAACTCTCGGTGAGTTGATTGCATAGCTTGGTGGATGAGCGGGATTGTAGGTTGTCATAATTGTCGAGAGAGTCTTGAGGTGGTGTATAGTGGACAATTTTAGTTGTGTAATGTAGGATTTGACGATAAGGCAGGTATTATGTAGTCATTGTTGTGTTTGGTGGTTGCGGATGAAGTGATAGATGGTAGGTACTGTGTTACCAAATGGATTGTGTTTTGAAATTGAAAGTTGTGGACTAAAGTTGAATTTTACGTTGCGCATGGGGTATGAGGAAATAGTGTTTACTGTTTAAGGATTCGAAGAGATGGAATGTTGATTTGAAATGATGGGGATGAGGTTGATCTTGTAGGTTTAATTAATAGCCTTATTTGGCTTTTGTCGGGCCAAGAGTGTTCTGAGGAACGGGGAATGATGAGAAGTAATGATATTGAACCTAGGGTGTGATGTTTTATTGTTTGGGCATGTTGATTGCCTTAGAATGAGTGGTTTGAGTAACCGGTTAAACGTTAGTGATTGATTGCATCGTTGATGGTTTTAAGGAGATAGTTGGGTGCTGAGTATTTTGGATTTTTGGTGTTCAATTTTTGGTTTTGAGGATTTGTCGGCATGGCATTACCATATGGATGTTCTTTTCTAGTGGTAAATAGTGGTCATTATGGGGGAGTATCGAAAGTAATGCTTATTCTTTTGTTATGGTGGTATTATCTTAAGCATATGTAAGGAAGAATCCTTTAGTAGTGGTTTAATGGTCCGGTGGGATGATAGGTTTGAACTGTTGTTGGAATGAGCGGCAGTAGAGATGTTATGGTGTCATGGTGTGGTGTTTAGTACTGATGAGCGGAATGGTTTAAGATATGATCCAAGGGTAGATTAGAGCTTACGAGTTGTTTGTTGTGTGTTGTCAAATAAGTGATAGGATTGTGTACTACTTGAGATGATTGTAGATGGTTTAATCATTAGAGTTAGTAAGGACAATGTAGCCGGTTAAACACTTTTTCTTTTGACGAGTCAGTGGGTTGTTATGGCGGAAGTCACGGGTCGTGTGTGCACGGGGATTGAGACAGTATCGTCTGGGGAGGAAAAGATTGAATTGGTGGTGGAGTATCTTTTATGGTTTAGAGGTTGTCATTTGGGAGTGACTGATTCTAGGTTAAACGGGATGCGGTGTCTAAAGGGCTATGATAGTTTATAGTGTTAGTGTGTTATGAGCGTTGGTGCTCTTATCTGATTAGTTTTGGTTAGCATGGGTGTTGCGGGGTATCGTTTGCGAGGTTTCTGTGTTGATAGGGTGTGACGGTCTATTAGTGGCAAGGTCGCCTAGAATTGAGTTTGTAGTTCCATATGGGTATTCAGTTGGTTCTTCTCCTTGTGTGTGAGGAATTAGTTCACCTCAGGTGAGATTGGGTGTCCATGGTTGGATGATTGGTGAGTAGAGTGTGACAAGGTGTTGGGTGTATTCAAGTGCGAGTTGTTGGTTTCTTGTGAGAGCGGGGATTATTAACCTTTCTGTTTGTTCTAGTCCTGGCAAGGGCATCATTTGTCGTGAGTTTTGTTCTCCGTTTAGGAGTTGTGCGAGTTCGTGGGTGGACAGACCTATGTGTGGTTTGTTATGTTGTTAGAGTTCGCCGGTAAAGGTTTGGTTGTTTGGGTTGACTCACTCCCACGGAGGGAGGTAGGGTCTTTAGTTTCGATGGTGCTTGTTTTAAGAGTGGTCTTGATAAGCGGTGTGAGGCAAGAGTTGCCAAATAGGGATTGTGTGTTTCCGGTGCTTAGTACTAGCGGTGACGGCTAGAGGATGTGTCATGAACTGTACGTTCAAGGATGATTAGGTGATGTGATGTGAGTCATGCACTCGGATGTTTTTATAGGCGCTTGATTCGAGCAGTGTCTTGAGGATAAATGTCGATGTCGCCTTAGACTTTCGTGATTAGAGAAAGTGAATATGTGATTCCTTGAGGAATAATAAGAATAATTGACTTTGGTTTTGAGATTTTAGGTATGAGACAGTCGCATTGCGTGTTTTGACGAGGTAAGAATTGAATCAAGTGATCTCATGAAGTTGTTTACATGGTATGGGTGCTATAAAGAGATCAGAAATCTTATGCGCTGGTCGATGATTATGTTACTTGGTGTCGTATCGCTTTTAGCTTGTTATGGGTTGTGTGATTGAAGAATAATCGGATTTTAAAGCTAGTATGTGGCTGTATAGTTGTTGAGGTTATGTAAAGTGATGGATTGATTAGAGAGTGGATCTCGTGGTTGTTTTTGTGGACTATATGGGGTTATGTTTGAGGTTTAGACTTGAGGATATGAACGACGTCTGTGTTGAGACCGAATTGATGATGAGAATGGCTTGGCCAACTATTTTTCCTGCATCAGTCCCTTTTTAGCATGATGTCGGGTCAAAGGTTATTGATTGTTTCTATTTATCAGGAACAGTGAGAGTACGGTATTGCCCGATGTGTCGATGTGACAGGGTGGATGCAGATGGTTTGTCTCGGGTGATGAGATGTGCTAGGGAGGACTAAGTGTCCGATAAATATTGTGGTTCGATTATTTGATCGTTAAAAATCTTGTTTTGAGGATATGTGTCCTGGGTATATGATAGTGTGTTTCATTGTTCTGGTGGTTCATGATTATGTAGTTGTTGGGAAATCTGTTGATTAGTCATCTTGAAGTTACTTAGTATGATGATTGTCATATAGTGCAGTTAGTAGTCGCTGGAGCGGTTATGTGATGGTATAGCTTTACGGTGGATAATGAGTGTTTGGTCTGACAGGGATGTGTAGATTTGAGTTTGAGTTTGATTATGCGACGGACGGGATTCCTTGTCTGGAGTTTTGTGTATCCTTTAAGGGATAAGTTGGGATTGGATGTTTTCGGGTATGCGGAAGCTGTTGGATTTGAATTTTGGGATGAAATTCTTTTTAAGTGGTGGAGAATGTGACAACCCAAATTTTTCTTCTTTTTTTTTAGATTTAATTTGATTTATTACTATTTTGGTTGTCATAATTAAATATTTAATTATGGTTGGAGATTTACCACAAGATAATTTTAATGGGTTGGAATTGTTGACCTTGGTTACAATGTGTGTGTGTGTGTGTGTGTGTGTGTGTATATATATATATGGTGTGTCATTTGCTAAAGAAGGTGAGCAGCCGAAGTGGAAAGAAGGAAAAAGGAAAGTTGGTTATGTAACGTGGGTCCCACATGACTTGTTTTATGGACATATACATATCTTATGTGTAATGGAGATAGGCACAGGTGGACAAAATTGTAGAAATAGGAAATGATAAATGTGATTGGTGGGACCCACGGCTAGGATTTCTGTTGGCAAATTTCCTTTGATTTTGACTGAGCACGTGGGTTGTGATGTGTTTGGACTGATACTTGCATTGTGTCGGTGCATTTTTTTTCCTATTTATGTACCTGTCTTGTGAATTTAGTAAGAAACTTGATAAAGGAATTAGAGGAAGGTAGAGAGAAAAAATTAAGGCCACACACACACTTTCTCTCTCTCGGCTGGGACATTCTCTCTCCCTCTTTCTGTATTTTTTTTTTATTTTTATTTCCTTCAAAGCTTCAAGCTTTGATTTCTCCCTCATTTTTGAGAGATTGTTTGAGCCATTTGCGGCAAATTGGAGGGCTTGTTGAAATCTACACATTGATGTAAGCAATTTCCCATTTGGCCAACCCTAGGATTTCGAGTTTTGAGACCCATTTTGAGGGTTTTTCTACAATTTGAGGTAGGGGTGCTCTAATTCATGTATTCTTTGCCTTCGGTGAATTTTTCCTTCATTAATTTGATACTAGCATGCTTAATTGGTGTAGATCTCTTGAGATTTGATACAAATGTTGTATTTGAAATTTTATTGTGTATAATAAGTATGCCATGTGCTAATTGTTATTTTGTGATGAGATGTATTTAAATGACAAAAATTGTGTATGTATATGTTGGATTTATTGTATGAGTGCATGTTGGCTATTTTTTAATTTCTATTAAAGCATGCTATGTTGTTGTAGTTGATTATGCATGATGGAATGTTATGAATTTTTTTGTGATTGGTTATAGCATGTAACATTCATACACCTCATTGGGAAAGAAAGGAAAGTTTGTTATAAAAAGTAACGAAATTGATTTTTGGGAAATTATTTTTTAAAAAAAACAAATGGAATTGTTTTGGGAAAGTATTTTTAAAAGTGTTTGCGAAAACCGGACGCCTAGGAGGTGCCTAGTGGTCCGTGATGTTAGTGTAGTCTAGAAGGGAGTATGGTTGAGCTAACTAGGCCGGATGCGACGCCTTGGAGGTGCCTTGTGGTCATGGATAGTTAGTCAATCCCCCTTTCATGACGCCTTAGACTTGCCTTGGGTCAGATTATACTAACGGTTTGGTTGTTGAAACAGAATTGTTTCGAAAATGGAAAGTGGCATTTGCATAACAGTGCACTTTATGGTATTGTAGTAAATCTGTGATCGGTTGACATTTGCAATATACTTGTTATTGTGGTTGAGAATATATGTTTCCTTATGGTATGATCCCGTTCCTTTTTACCTCTTTTTTATGTGGATTCACGGGGTCATAAGAGGTGTGTCTTAGACACTTCTTACTGAGCGTTTATCTCACCCCATCGTTTTAACATTTTTTTTAGGATACGGAAAGGAAGTGGCGGACAACGCTCCTCCACAGGGTTCTATAGGTTAGTAGACTATTTTGACATATTTTGTAACTATGATCTTTTTATTATTATTATTATTATTGCTGTTACTATTTTATTTTTAAAACCTTGGAATGAAACGTATATTATGTATTGACATAGGAAAGGACAGTAATGTAATATTTCTGAATCTCACCATTTTTCATTTTTTTGGAATTTTTCGTTCATGCAAGGGCATTCTTGTCTTTTCTCGTTTGGCGTACCGGTTGTGTTCGAGAGTTGGTTGGGACATTTCATTGAGTTCAGGACTCTTCGAAATGCTAAGGTTGCCATTTTTACAATTTTTCGTTTTTCGGACCAGACGGTTCTGTGTGGAATCCGTTGCCAGAACTGTCGTGTACAGGGGTTTTGGTTGAGTCCAATTGCATCACATTTATTTATTTAATGTGTTATGTGTGGTTGTACTTTATTATGTGTGTATATATATAATTAAGTTTGGTGGAAAATTAAGTTGAAAAGAAAAGATAAATTCGAAAGGAATAATGGTGGGACCCACCACTTATCCTTAAAGGGTTTAGAGACTAAGTTTGGTCTCCATTTTCTCTCTCTCTCTCTCCCGTAGGTATTCTCTCTCTCCCTCATTTCTTGATTTTTTTTTTCTTTTTCTTATCAAAGATTCAAACTTTGATCTCTTCTTCATCTTTTGGAGTTTTAAAATGCCATTTGCGGCAAATTAAAGAGCACATCGTGATCTTTGATTTGATCGGAGCAATTCCTCATTTGGTGCACCTTGGGGTTTCGAAATTCTAGGGCTTGGATTTGGGGAAAATTTGGTCTTTTATCAATTTTAGGTAGGGGTGCTCTAATCCACAATTTCTTAGATTTCTTGTGAAATTTTCCTTTAATTTGACTCTAAGCATGCTTAATTGTAATTATCTTGATTATGTTTGTTGTGGTTGTTAGTATTTAAGGTGATAAAGACATGCTATGTGTTAAGTAAGCTTATGAATATGATTAAATTCTTGTGGTGAAGAAGCATGCTTAGTGTTGATGTAATTATATGTCCTATGATTTTAAATTGTTATGAAAAGTGATGTTGTAGTTATGAAAATAAATGACTTTATTTTATGCCTTATGTATTTAAGTTGTTAGACTTGTGAATTGAAAGTATGTAAAATGCCATGATTTAGAAATATGTGAATGTGATATTAAATTAAAATTTATGTTTTAAACATGCTTGAATGATGTGAATGATATGTATGAAATTTCTATATTGTCATGGCATTGAAGGATTTGCATAATTCATACATTACCATTGGAAAAGTAAATGGAAAAGTTTGTTTCAAAAACAAATAAAATTGTTTTTGGGAAAAGTTTTTTTTGAAAAGTGTTTGTGAAAACCGGATGCCTCGAAGGTGGCTAGCGGTCCGTGTTGTTAGTGTAGTCTAGAAGGGAATATGGTTGAGCTAACTAGGCCGGATGTGATACCTTGGAGTTGCTTTGTGGTCGTGGATAGTTAGTCAACCCTCCATTCGTGACGCCTTGGAGGTGCCTTAGGTCGGATTGCACTAATGGTTTGGAAGTTGAAACGGTATTATTTCGGAAATGGGGAGCGACATGGCATTGCAAGGTATTTCATTGGCATACATTGTACATTTGGTGGTTAGACGACTTGCATATATATATATGTTGATATTATCATTGTTTTACTTGTTTTCCCTGAGGAATGATCCCATCTATTTATACTCTATTCCTTATGTGGATTCACGGGGTCGTAAGAAGTGTGTCTTAGACACTTCATATTGAGCGTTTAGCTCACCCCATTATTTTAACATTTTTCAGGATACAGGAAAAAGTGGCGGACGACACTCCTCCACAGGTTTTGATAGGTTAGTGGACTGTTTTGATATACTTTGTAGCCATGGTCTCATTTTATTATTGTTATTTATTTATTTTATTTTATTTATAAACCTTGGGATGACACATATGTTAAGTATTGACATAGGAAAGGACGGTAACGTTTTTAGTTGACCTTGGGTTTAGGTAAGGACCCGATTAGCAATCCAGACCCTTGGGTCGGGGTCATTACAGGTAGTGTCCTCAGTTGACCTCGGGTTTGGGTAAGGACCCGATTAGCGATTCAGACCCTCGGGTTCGGGTCGTTACAGTGACCATGATTTGTTTTTTGCTTTTCCAGTGATATGTGGTTGTGGTGGTGTTTGGGTTCGCCATGGAAGATTTGTTAGGGTTATTTTGGTCCATTAAATTGTCATTATATTTACATAAAATCATGGAGGGTAATTTAGGTATTATATTTTATCAATTTGAAAGCAAGGGGTGTCACAGCAAGATAAACCAAACCTTGTGAGGGTGTACTAGCAAAATTGGCTGAGGTTTAATATGAGAGCAATAAACTGAAATCTCAGGGGGTGAGAGAACATTTATCCCATTATTAATACACTCTTGTGGGTCCATTTTCTCAATCCGAGAATCTATATTTAATTGGTTCACCAAGTGTTAATGATTCAGGACCATCTAATAATTTCTCCGTGACAACAAACCACAATAGGGTTTTTCAATGCATGAAATTAGGAACCTTCAAGTCTTTCTACATGCTTTGGCCAATGATTCACTCTGGGCACTTAATATTCTCTATTATGTATGTACTATTATATCCTTTACCTAATACTTATAATTTCTTGTACACGACACTACTGCCTTGTATAACACTCACCAACCCACTTGTCTTGTATGGCTTCACCTATAAATAGGATCCTAGTGTACCGTTCATTCAATGAATTCAATACACAATCTCATTACTTTCAACATTCTCAATACAATCTCCTTGGGAAAAAAAAAATTAATTCTAGTGCACGATGCTCTCGTCACTTGAAAAATAAGATTGTAAATAACACAAGTCATCAAAGCCCATGACATAGTGAAGAAATTCAGGGTAGTAGGAGCTGACCTATTACGCATGCTTGGCTAAAGTCCTATTCTGAGAAAGCACGTTCTTAATTAATTTCAGTTCCTTAGAGGCATGAAGAATGTTCATTCGTTCCCTTTGAGCCTCCATAGAACATGCTGCTACTATTCTGAGTATTAGAATCAAGCACTCATGAATTTTCTCGCTTGTCAACTCTTATGTCCTCCTAGAACTGCTGCTGCTGGCTACAGTCACTCCTCTTCTTCCACACCCAAAAACAACATATGATCCACAATCTCCATCACTCGTTCTGGCAAAGCCGCCTTGGCGAATTTGTGAAGGTTAAAGCCATCTTTAAATATGCTAATAGTTAGTCTTGTCCAAGTCAACATTTCCAACAAAAGGATTCCATAGCTATATACATCATCATGGGCTGACACCTCGCTCCCCCATGCCGTACTCTGTAAAATTCAAGCATTTTATATTACCAGTTCAGGATGATTTCTAAATTTCAAATTACTATATTTATTTATGTGAAAGCATACACACAGAAATAAGTTTGATTACCTGGTGCTGCATATCTAATTGTTCCCTTGATACTAATGGAGGTGTGATGAGCACTGAAAAGTGCATATTTAAACCCCTTAAGTTTAGGCATTCTAGCACATTTATCTATCTTACTTTACCATTTTAGATTGATTTCGTATTATTTCCATTTTCAGGCACTTATCCTGAAAATAAGCTAACTCAGCCAAATAAGAGCTTAATTGAAGCAATTTTGGGATTAAACAAAGAAAGGGGCAAAGTGGAGAAAGAAATAAGCAAATGAAGCCAAAGGTGGGAAGCAGCAAAGTTCGATCAATCCAACTTTAAGGTTCGATCGATCGAACAATGATCGATCTCAGCACTTCAAGATAGATCCAAGCCTTGACCCAAAAGCATAAAGTCCAAAAGTTCGATCAATCCAACACCACCCTTCGATCGATCGAACACTTTTGTCCTTATTCAAATGATTGATCCTATCCACAGCTGTACCACCCACTAACCACTTTTGTCCTTTTCCCAAAAATATCTCCCAAAATATCTCAGATTTGTCTTTTCCCAAAAAGCTCAACCAGTTGGATCGATCCAGCCTAAGTTCGATGGATCTCAGCCAGTTCGATCAATCTAAGTCCAAGGTTCGATTGATCGAACTTCCTCTAGTGCGAAAAAGTTAAATTTCCATCTCATTGAAAGTTGTCCTTTATGCAATCATTAAGGAATATTGTGTGCACAACCCAGCTCATTTTGGGTGTCATTTGACCTATCTATATAAGTATAAGGATTGCTTTTTACAAGGGGGAGCCTATATCATTTTCATATCATCTCTTGGAGAGCAAGCTTAGAAAAGGAGGAGGCTAAAGACACCATTGGAGACTCTTCATCAACCAAGGAACAAATCTCTTTCATGGAGTTAGCCCTTGAGGGTTGGAGCAACATCACCATGAGTGGCTAGACATCCTCTTGGGGCTAGAGTTAGCCCTAAGCATGCTTTCTATATCTTAATCTTGTGTATTATTGAGGGATTAGTGTTGTAATTAATGTTTTGATACTTTGATATATATAGATCTTGTTTATTCAATGATTTATGTGGTTTAATGCTTCCAATTGATCATTTCATTCTATCCATATGTTTATGTCTACTATAATAAATGTTCATGTGTTTGCCTCTATTTCTTATGTTATTGATGCATGTCTATGTGTATTAATGTTATGGATTTAGAGATTGTCAAAACATTGTGTTTAAAATAATGCTCTTGTGATTTTCTAGATGGTCCATGCTCATTTCTTGATAGATTATGCCCCCCCCCCCCCCCCTTAGCTTAATTAGTTTAATTTCATGTCATTAGTTTAATTTTAGTGTAGTGATAGCATAGTTGTTAGATGAGAGGACAATCCATGCTAGTTGTTTAACATTCCATACTTTTGAATGCAAGTAACATATGTCTCTAACCTTGTGGTGTATTTGGCTTGTGAGCTTAATGAAATGATTAATGACTTGCTAGATATGTTGTGCTTTTCACATGCTATTTAGACAATATATACTTAATTGCTAGATATATTGTGCTTTTCACATGTTGATTAGACAATGTATTCTTAATTGGTCACCCTTGCTAATTGAATCAACCAAACATACACACTCATCAATATTGCAACACACATTACCCTCATTAGTCACTAGTTAGAAGTGTAGAAAAGCATTACATGGTGGTGACCTCTAAACCCCAAGAATTATCTCTCTCTTACTTACTCTTTGTTACATTCAATTACTTAGTTTAACTTAGTTGCTCTTTAGCTTAATTAACCAACCAACCATTTGTCTGATCACTCGACCTACTAACCTTAATTGCAATTCCATAATCAAGTATGACTCTAATCCCTTGGGACGATCCCTACTCGCCCTAGCTATATTTATAGTGAAAGGTAGTAGTGGCTTCTATAAATGTAAAACTCTTGGCCCTCGCCTTTATGCACATTCTTAAGCTTATGGTGTAGGATGGCTAAACACCCATCAAGTTTTTAGCGCCGTTGCTGGGGATTAGGCAACGTCGTATTTATGGAATTCATTAGGAATTAGTAATCTTTTGATCGTGTCTTACTTTGTTTTTATTTTCTTTAGATTACTTATTGTGTTTGTTCATCTTTGACAAGGAGCATTGAGCTAGGAATCAAGCAAAGGAGCCATCAAGTAAAGGAGCTAAGCAAGCAAGGAAAAGTGCTAAATTTTTTTAAAAATTTGCTAAGCTAAGCTTTAAATTTGGAGTTGAAGTACTAAAGGACCTTTGTGAGACTTTCTTACTCAATCCCTTAGTTAAATCGTCGGCATGCGTGGAGGCTAGTTTTTAATTTCTTAGATAAATCGTGAGCCCACGTGGAGGCAATTTACTTTTCTTTGCATTGTTATCAAAGCATGGGAGTATGGGAACATTGTATGTGGAGGAAGTTTGTTGATTGTTGATTTGTTGGGAAGGAGGAGTGCTTGCTTGTTTTGTTGTGATTTGTGTGTCATTTGTAGTCTTGTATAGACTTTGTCATATTATTCATTTTAGGCTTTCACATAGAAAATCTAGAGGGTAATCTTGGCTACTTAGGCCCACATTTCATGCACAACCTACCTCTTAATCAACATGACCTTGGAGTTCAAGCTCCAATTCCTCTAATGGTTCTTCGTGATCATTATAATCTTCATGCATTCCATGCACCTACTTGCATTGTGTTGCCTAATTTTGAGGCTAATCAATATGAAATCAAGCCTGAGACCATTCAAATGTGTCCACTCTTTTATGGCTTGGATGAAGAGGAACTATATAGCCATCTTAATGAATTTCTTGAACTATGTTCCACCGTGAGGTGCATGGATGTCCTAGAGGAAGTTCTTAAATTACTCCTGAGGAGGCCCGAAGTGACATGGGCCAGATATGACCCACAAACGCGACATCCGGTCCGTACAGATGGGTCAATCCCATAGAAAGACACTGCCATATGGGCCGAACGCGAATAGCCCATCAAAGATGACCAAAACTCACAGAGGAACGGGCCTAGATCTAGCAGTCCATTAATATTTGTAAGTATCTATAAATAGGAGAAGTAATGGATAGAGCAGGGGGAGATATTTTTGGTTGAAATGTAAGAATTCTAGAGAGAGAAAGAAAGGACGAATTTCTTGCATCTTCAATTGGCGCCGTCTGTGGGAAACGTTGAAGATTGATTGATCATTGATCGATATCGCGTGGATTCAGACCAATTCGTGGGAACGAAACTCGATCTTTGGGAGTTGGATCCAGATCTGAGCGATTGTGACCTACTCTGGAGGAATTTTAGTTCCTGTTGCTTTGGCGGAAGTGGCTTTAGATTTACGCAACAACGAGTTGTTCGATTGTGGCAGGATCTAACGGATTTAGAATTCGGACAATTCAGATCTCGTCAACCGTAAGCATAATTCAGAGAATTCGAAACCAGATCTGAAAAATTCGCACTCACGAAGCTCAGATCTACTCACGAACTTGAGATTAATGCCTTTACTCCGTTCAGGAATAATGATAGGTGAAAGCTCCAATCCGATGGAGGCTGTCCAGCAAACGAAGCTTGAGGAGTTGATGAACTTGATCGAAGCTCTCAAAAAAGAGAATGCACAATTGAAAGCTGAAATGCAACATCAGCAAATACCCGCGGTTTCGCGTTCACTTCCGGCCGGTGAAGGAGGTGTTCAATCTAATATCACGCATCAAGGCGAGCAGGACGAGAACAATCAGTCAGCTCTCCACCGTGATGAAAGGAGGATGGACGATTTGCCGCCAAATGCTCGTCGAGTTGAGGATCATGAAGGATCGACTCACGTTGATCCGCGACATGAGCAGATCAGACAGAACGAAGCCATGACCTTCAATCCGCATCGGGAAAGGTTCAACCGAGAGGAAGTGATAGAGGTTAATCGCCACCGAGTTGTGTCGCCTTAGCAAAGAGAGCTCATAGAGGAACGGTCATTCGATCCGTCTTACCGGCCCTCCATGGCTACAATCACTCATCGCGGTTCGGAGAGCAGAACAGTAGCTCACAGAGCTACCATTGGGCTCCAGAGAGAGAATGAAGCACTCCGATCCGCGGCTCGGACGGTTGATTCACCATTCACTGACGAGATCCTGAATGCCCCGCATCTAAGGAAGTTTGCTATGCCAGTCTTTATTCTGTTTGACGGAACAACCGATCCGATCGATCATGTGTACCATATCCAGTTGAAGATGGCCCTGAATACGAAAAACGACGCTTTAATGTGCAAATGTTTCCCTACAAGCCTAGCTGGACCGGCGCTCAGCTGGTTCAAGAACTTGCTTAGGAGCTCCATTGGTAGCTTCCGAAACCTGTGCGATCGGTTCATAAGCCAGTACTATGGGAACAAGCGTCCACCGAAGGACATCTCGAGCCTATTCACAATGAGACAGCACAAAGATGAACGTCTCCAGGCTTTTCTCACCAGGTTTAATCTCACTAAGAGTATGGTGATCGAATGCCACCCTTCTACAGCGGTTCAAGCCTTCAAGTTAGCCATGACACGTGGCACTCCGTTCTATACCAGCCTGGTAGTGAACATAACGACGACTATGGATGAACTCAATGAAAGAGCTGATGGCTTTGTGCGCCTAGAAGAAGAGGAGGCAGCCAATGCTCGGACAGCGTCGGTCGTGTCGACCGAGGAAAAGTCCAAGGCAAAGATCAGGCAGAAGCAGGCTCAGCCGCAACGTCAGACCTCCTGGAAGGCAGAAAAAAGGTCCAGGGAGGAAGAGCTGATCACTCCGCTGAAGGTCACTCTGGCGAGGCTATATCAGGAGAACAAAGATAAGTTTCATCCACCACTGCCAATTAGGCAACCCCTCGAACAGAGGGATCAGACTAAACATTGTGTTTTCCATTTCGATTTCGGTCATCAGACTAACGAATGCAGGAATTTGAGAAGGCAAGTGGAGATGTTGATAGCTAGAGGGGAGATATTTTTGGTTGAAATGTAAGAATTCTAGAGAGAGAAAGAAATGACAAATTTCTTGCATCTTCAATTGGCGCGAGTTATGTTCAAGGCTCGGCGACAGAGCAGAATCGACCGATGGAGCAAATAAAAAGGAGTCATAAACAAAGCTCCTACAATTCACAACCAGTTCGTATAATCAATGCTATCCACGGTCGACCCGAGCCCAGCGAAAATTCAGATGAGCTACTCCGAGCGCGCCTACGGCAGGCGCAGATGAAGAAAATGGTCAGCAGTGTGAATACTCTACACCAACAGATCACATCGATACAGATAAAGTTCGACAGGACAGACCTGCAGCGTGTTCAAGTCCCCCATGAAGACCCGTTGGTAGTCAGTTTGACAGTGGCGGACTGCCTGGTGCGCAGAGTTCTGATCGATCCCGGGAGCAGTGCGAATGTCATGCCGAGGGACACATTTGATCGGCTCGAGATTAAACCAGAGAGGCTCAAGCCCACTGGAAATCCCCTGTTAGGATTCGATGACAAGAGGGTAGAGCCCGTCGGAATGGTGGAAGTAGAAGTTCAAGCTGCAGAACGAGCTCTTATGGAAACTTTTGTGGTTGTGGAGATTCACCCCTCGTACAATCTCCTGATGGGAAGAGGATGGATTCACAGAGTCCAAGGTGTACCCTCAACTCTGCATCAGGTCATGAGGTGCCTCGGACCCGATGGAAATAAGGTGATAGACATTCGTGGGGATCAGGTGTAGCCAAAGAGTGTTATTCCGTCACACTAAAGTATGCTGGGAAAGGGAAGGCGCCCGTCCGATCGGCGAGCCCCAGATAGCAATTACAGGAACCTTCACCCAAGCAGAACAGGGTAGAGGAGTCAGTTGACTTGACTAAAGAGCCCCTTCTGGATGTACAGATCGATCAGTCCAGGCCAGAGCGAACTACCAGAGTAGGAGTAAGACTGACCAGGGAAGAGCAGCAAGAGCTAATTGACTTCTTGTCTCACAATGCCGATGTATTTGCATGGAGTCACCTAGACATGCCTGGAATTAATCACTCCGTATCCTGTCATTCCTTGAATGTCAATCCCAATTTCAAACCAGTAAAACAGAAGCAATGAAGATTTACTCCAGAACGTAACCAAATCATAGCCGAGGAAGTTGATAGGCTGCTTGATGCGGGATTCATCAGAGAAGTGCACTACCCTGATTGGTTGTCCAACGTCGTTGTCGTGCAGAAGAAGAATGGGAAATGGCGAGTATGCATTGATTTCACCAATTTGAACAAAGCCTGTCCGAAGGATAGCTTCCCGCTGCCAAAGATTGATCAAATGGTGGATGCCACCACCGGGTATGAGCGTTTAACCTTTCTGGACACTTATTCAGGTTATAATCAGATCCCTATGGACCCGGCAGATGAAGAAAAAACTTTTTTTGTAACCGAGCGAGGGACATACTGCTATAAAGTTATGCCTTTCGGACTAAAGAACGCGGGAGCAACTTATCAAAGACTTGTTAGCAAAATTTTCAAGGATCAAATAGGAAAGATTGTGGAAGCCTATATTGATGATATGGTGGTAAAGAGTAGGAAGAAGGATGATCATCTAAAACATCCGCAAGATGTATTTGATGTGCTGAGGCGATATGGGATGAGGCTCAATCCAACCAAGTGCTCGTTCGGTGTGAGTTCCGGTCAGTTTTTGGGACACGTGGTCAACCACAGAGGCATCGAAGTTAGCCCCGCTCAAGCAGAGGCTTTGATTAAGAATGCCAAGCCAAAGACGATCAGAGAGGTGCAAGCCCTCACAGGACGAATAGCTGCATTAAGTCGATTCATTTCTAAGTTGTCGGATCGCTGCAAGCCGTTCTTTGACACGATTCGGAGTCATGGAAGACAGGTCTGGGGAGACGAGCAACGACAAGCATTGACCCATTTGAAGGAATATATGCAGAAGCCACCAGTCCTGTCAGCCCCGGATCTAGAAGAAAAGTTATTTCTATATCTTGGAGTATCTAGTGTTGCGACAAGTGCTGTTCTGATTCGTTGCAAGGAAGGGGTGCAACACTCGGTATTTTATGTCAGTAAAACAATGACCGAGGCAGAACGAAGATACTCGAAGGCCGAACAAGTGATACTTTCACTTGTAAACGCAAAAAGAAAGTTGAGGCATTATTTCGAATCCCACCCTATAGCTGTTCTAACAACTTTTCCAATCAGAGTGCTTATGCACAAGCCAGAACTCTTGGGCAGAATGACAAAGTGGGCCATAGAGTTAAGTTCATTTGACATAACGTATGAGCCGAGAACAGCTGTC